TCATTTTAATTTAGTGATTTCTATTATACTAAATATTTGGGTAAACTGTTTTCCCCCTTATCATTTTAATCCCGTAAGTGGAGACTGTCACAAACTAGTCCCATAAGTGAAATTTTTTTGTTGTTTTAGTCATCCGGCGCCGGAGACACCCGCGTGGCTCGCCGGAGGCCACGTGTTCGCCAGGTGTCACTGACCTGGCGGATACGTGGATTTTATTTTATTATTTTCATTTTCTTTAATTTTTTAAAAATTTATTTTTAATTTATTTTTTATTTTATTTATTTTTTTAATTTTTTATTTGGTCCAATTAAAGAAAAATTAAAAAAAAATAAAACCCACGTGTCCGCCAGATGTCGTTGACCTGGCGGACATGTGGATTCCGACGAGCCACGCGGGCGTCTCTGGCACCAGAGGACTAAAACAGGGAAAATTTTCCACTTATGAGACTAGTTTGCGATAGACTCCACTTACGGGATTAAAATGATAAAGGGGTCCAGTTACGGGACTAAAAAAAACAGTTTACCCTAAATTTTTATTATTCTACTATTATAATAGTTGGGACATTTCCAAAAATAAATATTTCTTCCATCCACTTTAAAAGCATATATATATAATTTATTTTATACAAAATTTAATAAATATTATATTTTAATAATAGTTATTGGTAATTTTGTATGTAAAGACTATTTTATTCTTATAGTGATTATTTGTAAAGATATTGATGTAAATAAGTATACATGTGAAATGTGTTTGTAATATATTGTGAGATCATAATTACTAAAAATAAATAAATATATACTTTTTATTTGGATAACAAAAATAACAAAATGTAACAAAATGTATGCTTAACAAATGGACGAAAAGAGTAATTTACAACAATAAAAGAATTTTTTTTTTTTTTTAGAAAATCTAAAGATAATTGAGGTGAAATTGACCGGATTTAACAATATATTCAAATATAAACTGCAAATGCAAAGTTAAAGTTAAAATAAATATGTTGGATATTCGGTTATTTCGCAATCGATTATTTGGTGAGTGAAAATGTGATTGGTCGGTGTACCAAATTAATTAAATTAATTTGGAAGAAATAAATAAATATTATTTTGGCCATTTTTTTTATTTGTATATGAGGTTTGGTTAATATTTTGGCCATTTTAGCTGTCTAGAAACAAACCAAATTGTGCATTCCTAAATTAAACCTGGGTATATGGCTTAAGACGCAGTATTATTTGGATAAAATATTATCCGTTTGATAGATTTATTATAATTTCAAACGGAAGGTTTGAAATTAAAATAAATTACAATCGTCACAAACGAAAAATTTGTAATTAAAATCAATTACAACCGCTTCAAAAAGAATATTTGAATTTAGAATAAATTAAATCAGTAATTAAGGTCATAATTATGATCGTAATTGATTCCCTGCCATTTTGGCCGAGTGGAGACGTCTGTATAAAGGGTCTTCCCCCCTTTATTCTATACACACCAACAACTCTCTCCTCATTTTCTCATTTCTTCTAGTTTTCCAGCTACCTCCCCAACTCAGTTCATCTCTCTCGCTTTGTTCTCTAGAGCTCCAACGATTAGATGTGCTACTCTCATTGAAGACGTAAATCGTTTTATCTTTTGGTTAGAACGTCAGTCCCCGGAGGCACTACCGGAGAGTATCTAATTTTCGGAAAGAGGATCCATCATCGACTTGGTAGATGTTACTATCGCAATACCCATTTACACCAACAATAAAAAATTAGATACTACTTTCCGAGAATGTTAACCCTTGCCGAAGTCACCTCCGGAGCCACTGCCAGAGCCGCCGCCGGAACCGTTGCCGGAGCCACCGCTGGAGCCGTAGTCAAGGTAGTCGCTTCTCCACTTGGGCTAGTTCCCTTTATGGGTAGCCCTATATTTTCTGGATTTGCTCCAGTGGGATGTGGGGGCTTTCCTGGGTTTGTGGCCGCACCCTCTTCTTCATTCGCGGCCAAAACTGTTGGTCCTGGACTTGGCCTACGGATGATGCCCCATATACAAGTTCCACAACCATTCACTAGAGTGGACTTTAAGAGGTAACAAGAGAAGATACTATTATACTTGATTGCGATTGGGTTTGCCATGTTCGTGTTGCACGATGGCCCAGTTATCCCAGAGCCCGGTGCGGACCAGTAGACGCATGTGAATTATGCATCGTGGGCACATGGAGACTACATGATAAGAAATACCATATAAGGTAGTCTCTCTAACTCTCTTTATAATGTATATTGTAAAATAAAGTGTGTGAAAGGGTTGTGGGATGCTCTTGAGATGAAATATATGTCCGAGAATGACAAGTCTAAAATGTTTGTTGTGGCCCGGTTATGGACTATAAGATAGTAGATGACAAGTCTGTCGTCGAACAAGTGGAAGAATTTCAACACATTGTTCACTCTGTTATCGACGATGAGATGCCACTACCAGAAAATTTCATGATAACTCCAAATAGGAGCATATTCTTAGCTTGACAAAACTGTGTATTACTCGAATTTCTGTATAAAAACCATCACAATGACTCATTAATGGCATACATTATTGATATATATCGCTTGGCATGATCTAGAATTCGTTGTTAAGATTATTAACAATTTTTGCCTTTTTAAGCGGTAGTCTGGTGCCAGAAAAGCTAAGGTAGACGCCACAAGCGACAACCACCTCCGCTTACAAGCGCCCATAATACGTCTTGAAAAATACTAAGGCATGAGAGGCAAGCGGCAGCCTTCACCACCCGCAAGCGACAGCCTCTCCCGCTTGCAAGCGACAGCCCAGACACCCATCGCTGCAGATTATCACCAGATTCCAACTAAGTGTTCCAACTGCAGCGGTACAGCCATTTCATTTCTAGCCAGCACAAACGAGCCTAGCTGCGCTAATGCCCTTCAGCTCTTCAGCAAGCGAGGAAGATTTGCGCCCTTACAGTTCAGTGCAATCAAAGCAAGCGCCTTGGGAGTTATGGGCCACCAACTGCTTCAACAAAATAACTTCTAGTAACCGTCTAACTGTCCAGCGGTCGGAACCGCCCAACAACTGATTGCAACTGTCCCCTTTCACCGACTATAAATAGGGCCAGATATCTTTATGTAAAAGAGATCGATACTTCAATTGAAAACACTCTTAGCAAGTACTTCTCACGCAAATCGTCTTCCTGTCTTCGAGAGCTCTAACCCTATAAGGGAGTTCTCTACAGGAATGGCCAAGGGAGTAGGAGTTTTCCTTCTCCCTTGGCCAAGTCTTTACAGCTTTCTTAGATTAGATTACTGCTTTCATTTATAGCTACAAGCTTTAGTCTTTTCATGCTTTCGTAATAGATAATGAAATATCATTAAGTTCTTCATCCTCAATTCTTCCACAATTTTTACACATTTATATAAAGTTTGAATTTAGAGAATTCCATTTCACTGGTTTAGAGCTAGAGAAGAATTGATTATTTGAGCCTTGTTATGCACCAAAAGCGGTCTCAAGGTAGTTCAATGTAGTTAAGTACGCGGGAGCCTTGTCGACCTGCTTAACTGCTGTTTTGAATTCAATTTTGATTAAAAAGAGGTAACAGAAGGGTAAAGCCAATAATGAGGCAGATTTTGGGAAAATTAACGGGACATAGGCGGTGGTCTATTAGGTTGCAGAGATTCCTAGTGACAGTAGGGTTTCTTTCTTATAATGTCTTGAATCTGGGTGTCATTGAAGTCTTGTTGTAAATTCCTTAAGGTCAAAAATTCCAGTGTTATGAATTTTTTATATTCGGTTTATATAATTACAATACTTCATTCTCACCGCTTCCGTAAAATACATATATTTTCGTTAACACAATTGCATCGCTCGCTCATTGCCTCTAGGGAAATCTATCCATTTAGTAACGCATAGTTCAGACACAACATCTCTCATTCACTCTCGGTCGCTCATCTATATATATATATACATATGTATACATATAATGTGCCGCTCGCTCATGTGCCGTTCACTCGGTAACCGCCATTCATCCATGTCCCGTTTATCTAGTCCCCACTTCCGCTCATGTCCCAATCATCTGGTTACCGCTGACACTTCATCTTCCGCCCTCGCTTCGCTCACTTCCGCTCACTTTATTTTTTATCGCTTTACTTACCGCTTTTTATAGCCTAACTTTTGGATCTGCTGCAAGCGGATCCCTTCCTGCACATTTCGTCACTTTTTCAAGATTTTTACCGTTGAAATTCATGACTTAAAATCCTTGTGTTCGACTTGGAAACTCACCAGTATAAATAATTGTGATAACTACTCAGGGACTACAACCACAAAATTACTATATCTGATCATTTTCTATAAACTTCCACTCACTGATTTTCAAGTATAAATTCCCTGTGAATTGCGTAAATACACACACGCACATTTTAGTCATCATAATTTGGCGCTGTTGCCGGGGATTTTAAACTCATGAAAAGTATTTTGGTTGAGGATCTTTTGAAGCGTCATAAATTACTTTTAAATTCTTTGTAATAATTTTTGCATTCTTACTAATTTTGCTAACTTTTTCTTTGATGTGGCTATCATTATGTAGGGGTCCGAAGCGTTTTCAGCGTCCCACAAGTCCTACTCCTTCCGCTCGATCACAGAGACGTCTGTTTAGAGAGCAAGTGCGAGAACAACTTATGGCGAACCAAGGAAATGCCACCGCTCCTTCTACTGTCGTCCCAGCTTTCCAGACTGCCGCTGGGACATCTTCCAACTCTGCCACATCTGCATCTTCGCAGGAGGTGCCGCTCCACATCCCCACTGTGGTCCCTACTGTCATTCCCCCTGCGTTCACACCAATTGCGTACCTCGCTCAGGTGGAGAAAGCTCAAGCTGCGCAGAAGGCGTTTATCGCTTCCTAAGTGGCTCAAGCTGCCAACACTGCTGCGATACCCGCTACCATCACTCCCTCACCACCTACTGCTGAGCCTTACCAGAGGGCTGAGGGACACAGGGTTGCTGAACGCCCGCTTGCTGAAGTCCCCATGGACGTTCACTACCAGTCCCTTCTGGATCATACATTAATTACAAGTTCTGTGCCCAGAGGCTCTGGCCATTATGAGGTGAAACCAGTGCTCGTCAGACTAGCGAGCCAGAGCCAATTCCATGGGCTGCTCAACGAAAGCCCTTATGAGCATCTACAGAACTTTAACAGGATTGCTGCCACCTCCAAATCTCACGGCATCACGGAGGATGCTGCAAAACTGATACTGTTTCCATTCTCTTTATCTGGAGAAGCCAGGAAATGGTTCGATAACCTTTATCCAATTCCTGGCTCTTTTAAGGAAGCAACGCAGGCCTTCATAAGTAAATAACATCTTGTATCGAAGACCATTTGCCAAAGGAATGAAATACTCACTTTCAAGATAGCGAGCGATGAGACCCTTCCCAAAGCTTGGAGCCGATTCAAACAATTGTTTCGCAACTGTCCTCATCATGAAATTCCGGACTTCATGGAGCTACAAATTTTCTACTCAGGAATCACTCCTGAACTAAGGATGTCCTTGGATACAGCGGCAGGAAGCTCGCTGATGGGGCGCTGTGCCTCAGAAGCGAGGGCTTTAATCGAGAAAATGACGGCCAATCAGTCAAGTTAGCCAGAGTCCAATAGGCCCGAGCCATCAAGGGGTCTATACCAGGTTCCTGCTTCCATTTCTCACGATGCAAGGATCGACAGTTTGTCGATCCAAGTCAAGGAGATGTCTAAGCTCATGAAGTAGGACCTGCATAATAAAGGAAAACAGGCGCTGCACAAGGCTGGGGAATGTGAGGAAAGAGCTTTCGAAGACCAACAAGGTCCGCAGGTTGCTGAGTGCTCGACTGAAGAGGCTCAGAACCCAGCGGAAGTCTACTATATGGCTGGCAGAAATGCCCCTCAATTCCAACAATTCCAAAAGGGGCAGGCTCAAGGCCCCGCTAGACCGCGTCCTCAGCAACAATTTCAGAGGCCACAACAGTTCGCTGCGCAACAATCTCATCAAGGGGGATATTATCCACATCAACAGCAATACTTTCAAGCTCCCCACTTTCCGCAGCAGGCACCTACATTTGCTCAACCTCCCACAGCGGGCCAAGCACCGCTGAGTCTGGAGGAACTCTGGAGGAACACAGAGCGAGCAAATCAGGAGTTCCAAAGAAATACTTCTGCCTCGATCAAAATGCTGGAAATACAAGTCGGGCAGATAGCTGAAGCTATGAAGCTAAAGCAGAAGGGAACGTTGCCTGGGACAGTCGAGAATATCCCGAACCAAGCAAAGGCCATCGAAACAAGGGGAGGAAAGCGGACACAATCACCACCGCTGCCAGACAGAGGTATTAAGCATTCTCCTAACCCTATTGTTGCTAACGTGCCTGTGCAGGATGAAGTTATACAGATTCCGACTGAGGAGGAAGGCTCATCCCAACCTCGAGCGATACCAGCCGCTTGGGTGCCTGAACCGAAGGAAAAGGGTCCCGCTCAGCCTTTGGCTCGAGCCCCCTTTCCCACACGACTTGGGAAGAAGGACAACTCCAAGGAATTTGATAAGTTTGTGCACACTTTTCGTAGTATTCAAATTACTATACCGTTTGCTGATGCTTTGTCACAGATGTCACATTACGCTAAGTTTATCAAAGATATAATCGACCGGAAACGGGCATTCCCTGACGAAGCGGCAGCGGTGCAGCTGGAGAGTGTGTGCAGCGCCGTATTTAAGGAGGACCTCCCAAAAAAACTAAGCGATCTTGGGAGTTTCATTATTATTTGTACTATAGGAAATTTAGAGCCGATTAGGGCATTATGTGATCTACGTGCAAGTATCAATCTTATGACCTTCTCGCTTTTCTCTAAATTAGGGCTTTATGAATTAGAAGCATGTAGAACTGTAATTCAGCTTGCCGATAAATCAATAAGATTACCTAAAGGAATCATTCGTGATGTACTCGTGCAAGTAAACAAATTTATTTTCCCTGCAAATTTCATTATAATGGAAATGAGCGAGGATCGTGAAATTCCAATAATTCTAGGGAGACCTTTCCTTGCCACCGCTCAAGCCACGATAAATGTCGCCGAAGGCGAAATCTCATTAAGCTTCGGTTGAGATAAAGTCACATTTTCCATGAACTCAGCATTACGTCAACCTCAGGAAGAGAATTTTGATTTTATCAATGAGTTAAATGAAATAACAACTTTTGAGAGCTTTATTACACTTGAAAATCTGGAAGGAATTTCAAATAACGGGTCACTTGAGCTGGAAGCTGCAGAGGATTCAACAGAGGCAAGCGGTGACACGCCAGCGCTCACTGAATCCATTGAACGAGCGACGAGGGAACCAGCCAGCGACACCAACATAAAGGATGAGCTGAAGAAATTACCTGAACACCTCAAATACATATTCCTTGGCCCAGAGGAGAGTTACCCGCTGATAATCTCCGCCTTACTATTGCCGGACCAAAAGGCTTAGCTCGTCTCACTTCTGAAAAGAAGAAAAGCGGCGTTTGCATGGAAGATCACAGATATAAAAGGAATCAGCCCAGCGGTGTGCATGCACCATATAAGGCTGGATGCTGACGCTAAGCCATGAAGACAGCCTCAGCGGCGACTAAATGAAAATATGCAAGAGGTAGTAAAGAAGGAGGTGATCAAGCTGTTCGATGCAGGAATCATATACCCTATTACTGACAGCCAGTGGGTCAGCCCAACCCAGGTAGTTCCCAAGAAAGGAGGCTTTGTCGAATAGACAAGCGATGAGGGGGAGGTCTTCATGACAAGACCTGTCACTGGGTGGAGGGTTTGCATCGAGTACGGAAGATTGAATTCCGCCATGAAGAAGGATCACTTCCCGCTTCCCTTCCTTGATCAATGCCTTCAGAAGCTCGCAGGTAACAAATACTACTGTTTCCTCGATGGCTACTCAGGCTATCATCAACTTCCCATCAAACCGGAGGGCTGTGAGAAAACTACATTTACTTGTCCATATGGGACTTTCGCTTACAGAAAGATGCCGTTCGGGCTTTGCAACACTTCGGCCACCTTCCAGCGATGTATGTACCATATCTTCAGCGATCTCCTGGACTCCTGTATAGAAGTATTCATGGACGACTTCTCGGTATATGGCAAGACATTTTCTAGATGCCTGAACAATCAGGAAAAAGTACTTCTTCACTGCATTGAGACTGATCTCATGTTGAACTGGGAAAAGTGTCATCTCATGGTAAATGAAGGAATTGTCTTAGGCCATAAGATCTCATCTGCCGGTATTGAGGTGGATAGATCAAAAGTTAGTGTAATCGAAAAGATGCCACCACCCTCGAATGAGAAAGGAGTGCGAAGTTTCCTTGGACATACGGGGTTCTACCGTCGTTTCATCAAGGGCTTCAGTCAAATCACGCAACCACTTACATCACTGTTGTGCAAGGATTCTCAGTTTCACTGGTCAAGCGAGTGTGAGGAGGCTTTCCGAGTATTAAAGGAGAAGTTGACCTCCGCTTCTATAATTTCAGCACCAGTATGGAGTGAGCCATTCGAGTTGATGACGGATGCCAGCGACTATGCCGTCGGCGTTGTACTAGGACAAAGGGTAGAATCCAAGTTGAATGTCATCTATTATGCAAGTAAATCACTGGATTCCGCTCAAAAGAATTACACTACAACCGAGAAGGAGCTGCTAGCTATTTTCTTCGCTTTCGAGAAATTTAGACAATATCTTATCTGAAGCAAGACCATTGTTCACACTGACCATGTAGCTATTAAGTATTTGATGGAGAAGAAGGAGACAAAGGCCCGCTTGATCAGATGTGTTCTGTTGCTCTAGGAATTTGACATTGAGATCAGGGATAAGAAGGGGAAAGAGAATCATGTGGCAGATCACCCCAGTAAGTTAAGGCAAGAAGAGGACATATCTCCAGGAATCAATGAACAATTCCCAGATGAGAAGCTGTTCCTAGTGCAAGCGAAGGAGCCATGGTTTGCGGACCTGGCCAATTTCCTAACTACAGGACAGTTCCCAACACATACTATACAAAGGGAAAAGAAGAGATTGCTCAGTTTGGAAAAGGACTATTTTTGAGATGAACCGTTTTTGTTCAACATTGGCGCAGATGGGATAATTCATCGCTGTGTAGCGGAATCTGAGATCCCACTGATCTTGAATGAATGTCATGGGTCCCATGTAGGAGGGCATTTCGCTGGCCTGCGCACAGCGGCCAAAGTTTTGCAGTCGGGCTTCTTCTGGCCTACCCTACAGAAAGATGCTGATGCCTTTGCCAAATCTTGCGACAAGTGTCAAAGATTCGGATCTATCTCGAAGAGAGATGAGATGCCCCAAACTGGAGTCTTGTTTGTGGACATATTTGATGTGTGGGGGATAGACTTTATGGGTCCCTTTCCGCCTTCCAATGAGAAATTATACATTCTGGTGGCGGTGGATTACGTGAGCAAGTGGGTTGAAGCGCAAGCGCTCATCACTAATGATGCTCGATCTGTGATCTGCTTCCTAAAATATACTATATTCCCAAGGTTTGGGGTCCCCAGAACAATAATAAGCGATGAAGGCACCCACTTTGTGAATAAGGCGCTGCAATCTTGCCTTCAAGAATATGGCGTCCGCCAGCATCTAACTACCCTCTATCACCCACAAGCGAGCGGTCAGGTGGAAGTTTCAAATAGAGAAATCAAGCACATCCTCCATACCACAGTAAATAAAAGTCGCAAGAATTGGGCAGAGAAATTGGATGATGCGCTGTGGGCATATAGAACAGCCTTCAAAACTCCAATTGGAATGTCCCCTTATCGGCTTGTATATGGAAAAGCCTGCCACCTACCTCTGGAACTCGAGCATCATGCGTATTGGGCCATCAAGTATCTCAACTTCGATCTTCTCTCAGTACAGGAGAAGCGCGCCAAAAGATTGCTCGATCTGACTGAGTTCCATTATCTTGCGTATGAAAGTGCTAAACTCTACAAGGAAAGGATGAAATTCTACCATGATAAGAAGTTGAAGAAGAAGGAATTCACTGTGGGATCCAAGGTTCTTCTATACGATACTAGGCTCCACTTATTCCCAGGGAAATTGAAGTCACGGTGGACTGGGCCATATATCGTCAGGCAAGTGCTGCCAAGTGGAGCCATAAGGATCAATAATTTGGAAACCCTAGGAGAAAGAAACTCCTTCCTGGTAAATGGAGCTAGACTGAAACCGTATATCGAAGGGCCTGTATTGCAACAGACCAGTGCAAATATTAATCTGATGGAGGTTCAGAAGCTCGTTCAATGATAGAATTTCGGAAAAAAAGGATCCAGAAGCCTAATCTTATGTCCGCCAAGTTTACAACTTTCTTTTATCGCTTTCCTAGTTAGAATTTATCGCTTTCATAGTAAAATTTACAAGTTTTCTTTATCGCTTTCATAGATAGATTTTATAATTCTTACCGTTTTCATAGTATAGGTTTACACTTTTGTTATCGCTTTCATTAGAATAAGATTATCGCTTTGTAGGGGTAGTTTAATGTTAGCATTTTAACTTCTACCCTGAGCCTGACCCAAACCATCTATCACTTCGCTTATCTCACCCTGATATTCATTGGGGGAGCAGTATCACTCACCCAGTACCGCTTCCATCACTGCTTGAATGTCATGCTTAGATAAATACAAGTATTGCTTTACTCGCTCACCCGCCCTGAAAACCCTCCCTTATACCTTTATAAGTAATTACAATGGACTAGGCAGCGGTCCGCTTGCCCTCCAGATGAGCGATAGAAAATTCTATAAATACCCCAGTCCCCAGTCAGTTTCCACTTTTGCTCTACAGTAACTTCCTCCAGACGCTTTAGTAACCGCCACTTTCCAAGCCAAAATTTTTTCAAAATCTCGACATTTCAACCAATAATAGCTTCATTTAATGTAAGATCTAGGTTAAACTTAGTACATAAACTCGATTTTATGGTTGATTTTCCCTGATTTAACGTTCAAAAACACAGAATCCCAAATTATTTTTACGATAACTGTCTGTTCTTCATTTTTGCAAAACTGTTTACATGTTTGATTTATATGAATCTAGGTCTATTATCTGTTAGATTTAGATACAATAACTGATTTCCTTGCTTCCTATGGTTCAATTTTGCAATAATCTTTATGTTTTGTACTGTTATGTGATTTTCTCCCTTTTTCACAACGTAACACTCACAATAGTGTTCTGTTTCGTTGTGAGGGGGAGGATCTAGGGTTAAAATCACTGAAATTGTGAAAATGATTGCCTGTACACGGATGTTAGCATTTTAAAGCAGTAAGGCATGATTCAAAAATTTCATATATTAAACAATAACTCTGGAAATCCTAGGTTCAGGACAGGCTTAACAAAATAGATCCAGTCAAGTGAGAAACATTGAAAAAGGAGTTTGAGAAGGTTGAAGAGAGAATATAAAAGAGAGTCCAAAGGATTAAATCCACGGACGGACGACAGGTGGTGACAACAACCTCAGGGGCAGAATTTGTAGAGCCAGCGCCGCCTGAGGCATACTACAGGAGGAGGAGAGTGTTGGAGCTTACAGAGGACTGGGAGAAGCTCAGGCAGCTGAAGTCACTCCCCTTCAGAAAATTCATTCCAGAGTTTCCGGAGGACTACCTCAAATTCGAATACACTGAAGAAACAGAGCAGAGGTATCCGGTGAGCGACTGGTGGTTGGACTACGAGGAGCTGAAGAAGTACCAGCTGAAAGAGCTGAAGGACAAACTTGCCTGCCAAGAGGCACCGCTGAGGAGGATGAAGGCATTCAGAGGCGAAACCTCCAAAAAGAATGCCGCCGATGCTGCAAGGATGTGTTGAGGTCCAAGCAGTTTGACAAACTTCATTTTTCCAACATTGATGCAGCAACGGCCTATGAGCGGATGAAGGCGATGGGGTTCCTCTACGAGAGAGGATTTGACCCCGAAAAGATCACAGGCCCGCTCTCTGACTAGCTGGAGGAGCGAGGCCTGTCATGGTTGATCAGAAACCCCAGTGAGCCAGTGGATGTATCGCTGGTGAGGGAGTTTTACGCTAATCTGAACCAGGCTGAGAGTCTAAAACATGTCTACATTCGGGGGAGATGGGTAGACTGCTCAGCCAAGAAGATCAACCGACTCTTGGGATGGGAACACCACTACCCCATCCAGGAGATGAGGGATAAGTTGAAGGCAACGGAGGTCTGCAGCTTGATTGAGTTGCAGATGCTTTACAGGACCTTCGCCACCACCCCTGTATACGAGAAGATGAACTTAAAATTCGGGTCGGTGGACGAAGAAAAAAGGAATGGGTGAAGTGGTCGTTGAGTAGAATAATGATCACCGCATATACAATTGACATCCGTCCTGACTACCTCCTTGCCCTTCGCTCAATTCTGGAGGAGAATGCTGATGTGGATTTGGGCGCAATCATAGGCATAGATATCTAGGATCGAAGAAGCGGAGACAGAACACTGGGTCATG